CGTGCTCTGCCGAGAAGGGAGAGAGGCAGCAAAATCCCTGGATAGGGCTCAGTCCAGCGGATCAGGACAGAAGAGGGAGCCCGGGACACAGAGTCGGAGAGCATCCCACCCTGCTGGGCTCCAGCCAAGCTCTGGATGTTGACAGCATTCATAGAAACTTGCTTTTTGTTTCTATAGCCACCTTTTGGCGTTTATTTATGGTTTAGCGGAGAGCACTCTCAGCTCCGAGGCTGTGCCGGCATTCCCACTGCACTGAAGAGCGAGCCGTTCCACCGGCGCTGCCCAGAAATCACCACCGTGCTGCACCCCGCCATTCTCCTCTCTGTATTGAGGGGCCAAAACATCTTTTCCCTCCTCTTCCCCCATGCTGATCCTTTCCCTCCAGACCTCTGACAGCCGAATCACCGCCCCGCTGTGCCTGTCATCCCCTGCCTGCTGTTCCTGCTTTAAAACCCACCTCACTTTGGAAGCCACCTCCTTGGCAGCTTGCTTGGCTGATGAGCGCTTGTCCTGCCCTGGGCAAGTCCGCAGCCCCCTGGTAGACAGAAACGTTGTGGTTTTGACCCCTTTTAAGAAGACACCTGCAGGACTGATATTTTTAGCAGTAAAGGAGCCTGAGCTCCGTTACTGCTGGGCGTATGAAGTGTCCCAGCTCTTGGTGGGCCCCAGGGACACCGGCCAACTCTCTGATACGCGCCGTCTTGTGAATGCTTTTCAATGTCCTGAGATGTTTCCTAGCAAACAAATAATTTTCTAATTTGCTTAAACGACTGCTCCCTCCTCGCGCAGAGCCGGCGGAGGAGCGGCCGTGGGAAGGAGCCCGGCAGGGTTTCGGCTGTGTGGAGAAGGGGCTGCCCTTCCCCGTGCTCCCCAAGACCTCTGGCAGGCGCAGAGACCGATGCTCACCACAGACCTGACCTGCTGAGACTTATTTAACATTTCCTAACAGGCCAGGCTATGCTGCGAGCCTGTTTTCAGATAGTGCTGGTTTGTACGTCAGTATTTTTAGATACCTTCTGTTTGTTATCTCTATTTTACCCCTCCAAAGCCAGACATCAATTACCAACTCAGGTGTATATTAAAACATAGCTCACAAATAGGCTGTTCTGCCCATACCCGCCTTAGTAATTTCTAATTTATTGCTGACAATTGTTTGTTTTCCTCTCCAGCCATGAACAATACGCCTGTTGTAAAATACCACGGGGCTACAGAGCCTCTCTGGCATGAATGGGACAGGAAAGCACAGAAATGTGGATTAAGACACACGGTCTATGCTGTGAATGGGGATCGGTATACTGGAGAGTGGCTGGACAACTTGAAACATGGTAAGATAGATCATGTTGAGAAAAAGTACCAATGTAGATGTCTTTGCAAAAATTCCTAGGGGCAGGGAGTGGTCAGTGGTTGTATATGCTCCCGAAAGACCATTCATTCATGTATGACTATATATATATGTCTTCGATATATGTCATGCAAAAATGTACTCAGAAATATTTCTAATAGGTAACTTTAAGAGTTTCTGCATGCACTCAGGGGTAATTACCTGAAATATCTAGATTACAGATGTTTAAAAACCCTCTGCAAACACAGCAAACTGCAGTCAGCTCCACGCACGGGGATGTGCCCTGGCTGCGCCGTCCCGGGAGCTCTCTCGGCTCCTGACTTGGCTTCAGGAACATTAATTTATCCTCAAGCCGTAGCTGCAGGAGACAGAGCAAGGGAAGGAGACCCTGACCGAGCTCTGCGCAGCTGTTTACAACCAGTAAACCAAGGGTTGGAAAGATTTAAGTGCATTCAGCAAAGGCCACGTAGGAAGCCCCTGATCAAGATTAACGATGGTTCCGACTTGGGAAGCTAAACTGAATCCCAGACATAAACCTGCCTCGGTGCCCGGGATGCCTCGCCTGGGATGGAGCCGTGGGAAGGCAGCCCCCTAAACCCTCCTCCTAACAACCGCGATGGTCTCCCTGTCCTTCCTTTTGTTTGTTACGCAGGTAAAGGCATCCAGGTATGGAAACGCACCGGAGCTATTTATAGCGGTGACTGGAAGTTTGGGAAGCGGGATGGTTATGGCTCATACAGCATTCCTGACCCTGTAACCAAGGAATACAAGAAGGTGTACACAGGCTGGTGGAAAAACAACCGAAAATGCGTAAGTGAGATTTCCTGCTCGTGCCAGCGGTGAGGCAGCGTGCCCAAAAACATGGGGAAGAGTTGAGTGCACACGTGCAAAAAGATCGCTTAAGATACTAATTTTTCCAATACTGAGGCCGAATTGAAAGGTTTTGGGGAAATGAACAGGTGGAAGAAGAAAATCAAAGCAAGAGCAAAACCTCTGGTATTTAAGCCCTCTCCCCCCGCCCTCCCCAACCTCACTGCTCCTGGCATTACTCACTTCTCCACGTCAGATGCTGCAGGAGCTGCACCGTGTCCCACGGCCGGCAATAGGGAAGGAACAGCGGGACTCTGGGCAGAAGCTACATGAGCAGACCTTCCTCCAGGCTTGGCTTCTCTTTAAATCTTAGCCTGAACCTGCAGGAAGCCCAGGAAGCTTCAGGAGTAAAAAATCATCATTCATAACAAAGCCAAGCATGGCCGAGAGCACCCCATCACCCACCATCTCCCCACTGGAGAGGGACCCATCCCACCCATCCGCTGGTGACTGGGCTACAGCCCCGACCTCCCACCAGCTGCCGCAGAGCAGCGATCGCTGCTCGGACTCACCTGCAGCTCGCCCAAGCAGGACGGGAGGTTTCGTATCCTGCGTCTTAATTCTCCCCACCCATCCCTTTCATTCCTCTCATCCTTGAGGCAGTCGGAGGAACCTGTATTATAAGCACCACCGGAAAATGTACCTTCTTCTGGGAGTTTTACAGCGTATTAGACAAACAACATGAGTTCTTTTGGAAATTAAGCCTGTCACATAAATCACTGGTTCTTCTAAAGGGAACATAATGAGGAAGTCATCTGGTAAAAATGACTGCAATCTTATGTGCAAAATCCTCGTAGGAACAGTTTCTGATCTGCCAATGGAAACCTTGTGTTCGCCTTCGTGTCTGCTCTTAAATTAAATTAATGGCCTCTTATGCTTCTAATTGGCGTGCAGCTCTATGGCTCCAGTCTCTTGGGGGGAGCTTTCCCTCCTGTTCTTTGAGGATATATTTTGGATGATTGAGCTTTGGTGAAAGCTTTATAATGACACCTAAATATCACTAGGGTATTTTTCTTCTACAAAAGCCTCCCCTTTACATCTATGCAGTTTAATAAAATTAATGCTCAGAAAAATCAGTCATTTCCAGAACTGATTTTATATTTTTTTGTTCAGAGATAAGTTAACTCTCTATTCCTACGGGAAAACTCATCAGTAATACATAATTATTTCTTACTGGTATCACTCCCCAGTATAGGGGGTACCTTTGGACTTCTCTTAATTGCAAACACACACGTAAGACAAACACCTCCTGCAGTGCCCGGCTTGCACACACCCAGCAGTCTTCATTCAGAAGTTCACCAACCGAACCTGCCAGCGTCGAGCCGGAGGGGGGAAAGCAAATTGTGGAGACGGCTCAATGTCAGGGCTCACCTGCCCCGCTGGGGTGATGCCTGCCGCCTCAGGAGCCTGGCCCGGTGCCCGGCTGCTGGGAGGCACACGTGGCATCGCTGCCTGCGCCTGCCAGTCTCACCGCAGCGAGCCCTCAGGGCTGTAGTTTGTTGTGAAGGAGGAAGGCAGGCAGGCAAGGGTATGGCTGGAGGAGAACGCAAAACTGTTTCCATGGTTAGCATCACTCAGAGACCTCTGGTCTGCCCAGGGGTTGGGATGGAGTTGCCCAGCCTGGGACACACGGGGTGTAGGAAGCATCGTCAGGGTTGAAAGGCATGAAATCCCCACCTGGACAGACAGGCCTTTTCAATGCTGCCTACCCCCAGGCAGGTTGACATACTAGTAAAACCCGCTTTTAGCTAAATATTAGCAGCAATCATGCCAATAATAACACACTGAGATATAAACATGAAGTTTTGTCATGGGAATAAAATAATTTGCCAAAAAAATCCCATACCTCTCGTTTCCTTCAACACAAGAACGGCCACCGAGCTGGGCTGCCAGCAGCCATGCGTAAGAGTAATGAGTAAAGTAGTGTGTCAAGAAAGTAATGTCCCAAAATTGAACACCGACCCCTTTCAATTCAGAGGCTCCTAACTGGCCATCTCTGTGCTGCCCTGCAGGGCTACGGGACAACGTTTTACCCCGTCGGGGAGCGCTACGAGGGCGGGTGGAGCAGTGGGCTGCGGAGTGGCTGGGGACGGATGTACTACCAGGACGGATCCATCTACGAGGGACAGTGGCTGGAGGACCAGCCCAACGGGGAGGGGATGCTGCGGCTGTGTAAGTACTGACCACCCTCACCCAAAGCGTCCGCCTGTCTCCTTCGAGGTATTTGGTGTCATGCTGCTCTCCAGATGCCTCTGCCACCCAGATTTCCAGATGCTACATCACATCTCCCGCTGCAGCCTTGCACCAGGGTTGCAGCTGCTCCCGTGTGTCGTCCCTCCGCTCCTGGTTTAGGGCTGGAGGCAGCACAGGCGGCCAGCATTGCGCTGATCAAGCCCACACGCAGGAAAGCTTATTTTTGCTGGGATTTACATTTAAATGACCAGGATGGTTAGGGTTAGAGACAATGTACTGCTGGGTCAGAGTAGAGCAAATCTCTCTTTTCAAGCCAGGCACTTTGCCAGACATACTTTCTAACTGCTGCATACCAAAGAGGAATCCAGTTTCCAGCATAGGGGGGAAAAAAAAAAAAAAAAAAAAGAGAAGTTTTCTTTTTGAGTTCACTCCATCCCCTCTCTTACTTCCGACACTGGCTCACGTTGAGTGAACGGGGGTTTCATTAGTACACAATCCCTTCCCAGAAATAATACCGAGCACATCACAGATTGGGAATGTTGGGGGCAATCTCATCATAAAAATAGAAATTTGGAAATTTTTTGCCCTTATTTTGCTTGGAGTTTAACACGTTTTTCCCCAAAGCCAAGAATCCCAGTCCTTTGCAATACAAGGTACTGCATTCCAGGAACATTTGAAGAACTCTTATCTCCGTATTATTATTCATCTATTCTATTTTTTTGCTTGAAAGTGATCTCAAGGCTAGTCATTAGCTAAGCAAAGCAGCTGGGAGGAACGAGCACGACCTGCCCTGCACATCGGCGCAACCGCGCTCTCTCTCTGCTGACTGTAAAGTCATTTTGGACTGATGGCTCATCTGGATGCAATCAGCACCCACTTGCAGGGGTAACTCCTTCCCCTGATCGGCTTCGCTCCCCTCAAAGTCACTGTTAGTTATAAACTAACAGCCCCTGGGGGCTGAGCTGCGGCTGACGCACTATTTCAGAGCTTGGTTGCCTCCAGCGTAGCCTGAAACCGATTGCAGGCTGGATTCCTTTCAGTTAAAATCAGCCAGAGCAATTATTTCATACCCACAAGCTTAATATATTCAGCTCAGCCGCTGGAAGCGTGCCGACGTGCCGGCAGCTTTGTGATGGTGAAAGAAAAGGAGTTCTTCAGTGGAGGTCACGATGAGCTGCAGCTCAAGATTAAATTGCTTGTAGTGGCAGCGTGCCCGGGAAGGGCGAGCTTGGCTGGGAGCACCGCGCTGATTTGCCGCCTCTGCTACAGCCCGTCGCCAAACGGCTTCTAAACCGGAGCATTGCGTGTCTGCCGGGGAGATCTCGGCTGTGAGCAACTCAGCCTCCGAGATGCTCTGGGAGGAGAGCAGATGGGAGCAACCGGGTGCTGCGGTGCAGCCAGGGCATTCGATGGCCTCTCCATCACAGCCGGGTCGGTGATTTCGGTGGCTTCTGAGTTGTCGGTGGCTGGAGAATAGAAGCTGAGCTGCTCCCACCGGTGGGCAGGGAAGGTTGGTGTTGCAGATAAGCACACCACCAGATGCAAGCTGAAGATAACCACCGCCATGGCTCCAACCTATAAACCAGACCATGCCTGAAGTGCCCAGCTGCCGTGCTCCCCAGAAGCGTTTTTGGTTTTTCCCTCTTGCCTTACAGTGTTCTGGCAATCCCCAGGTCCCTCTGCAGTACCGTGCTGGGTGCCCTGGTATTTCAGCCACCTCTTGCCATGAAGAATGGCAGAGTTTGACTGAGACCCAAAGATATTTCCACTAAGTAATTTGGTCAGAAATCCCCAAAGTTTTTGGCTTAGAAACACCATCTGTAGGAAAAGGGGATGGCAAAGGATCCTCCCAGTGACAGCAGGGTGGCCTGGATGTATCCCAGCCCCAGCATCACCGTGGGTAATGATGCTCCTTCTCAACCAGCATCCCCGGGCAAGGCTGCTCCCTTCCCCTTGCACCTCTGCTTTTCCTGTTGGTGATGGATGGACGGATTCCTGGAAAGCAGCAGAGCCCCAAAAAACCTCTCTCAACTTGCAGAAAAACACCAAGAGATGCAGTACAGCTGGAAAAAGTCTGTAATGGATTGCCTGTAACTCACAGCCCTGTAACTCATTGAGGAAAAAATAACTACAAGTATTATTTGAAATCAAGATTATTTTGACTGGACAACAATCAGATAGTGCTGCTGTTCCTTGCCCAGACAAGCAAACCTCTTTGAGCCAGAGATCCTGCGTGATTTGTTGCAGTGACAAATCTGAAACTTGTGTCCTATAATTTTTCATGTTGTAAAGAGTGACTCAGCTCACTTGCTCTGCATATCAGCAAAAAATTAATATCCCCATGAGAAGAACAAAGCAGGTGAACACAGTTCTTGCTCCAAGTAGGCAAACGTGGGCTCCTTCCACAGCCTTTTTTCCCCTCTGCGGCACAGCAAACGGAGCACCGTGAAAGCAAAATGACACACTGTGCCACAGCCCTCTCGAAATTACTAAGAGGAGCCAAACAGACGATTTCTTCTTCTGTCGGTTTGCTGTGTTGATTCATTTCGTTTGTAGCCCCTTAATGAAATGGTGCAAATTTCATGGTCTGTTCATGTATTTAATTGCAGCAAATGAAAATCGGTATGAAGGACGTTGGAAAGATGGAAAGAAGCATGGCCCAGGGAAATTTTTCTACTTGAATAAGGGACAGCTGTTCGAAGGTATCTGGGCAGCAGATATACCAAGATGTGGAATTCTGATTGACTTTGGCAGGGACGAAGCTCCTGTCCCTACTCAGTATCCAATCCCAAAGGTAAGAGCTTGGAAATTTTGGTTTTGCTCATGATGTTTGCATTCATCAGCACTCGGGTCAGCTCTCCAGGTAGCATTTCAGTCTTCAAGGGATTACTCCCATGGTATTCCTAGTTCACAGGGTGTGTGCTCAGTCTTTTGGCCAGCAGTGCCCTAAATGGCCCCGTAGGGACAAACGGCCCCCCCAGCCACTGCTGGAGCCTCCTAATCGCCTACATCTGAAAAAATGCAGTTCTCATGCACCAAAACTGATTAGAGACCTGAGGCAGCACAAAGGAAACGGGGACAATAGAGTCAGAGACAATAGCAGGATTTGCATCAAAACCAAATGATTTCACCAAGCCGAAGTGCTAAAGCTGACCAGACCTCACTGAAACCTGAGCAGCTGCAGTGCTAATATCAGTTATTTCCTTTACCCGGGCACCCCAAGTCCAGCAGCCCCGTGGGTAGAGGGATGTGTGTAGCTTCCCACCTCACCCCAAGGTGGGCAAACAGGTGTCCGAGAGCCGACATCCTCTGCTCCCCTTTTCCCTTAAGACTGACACAGGCTGCAGAGGAAGAGCCAGTCCCCGTCCCCCTCCCAAAGACTTGGCGAGATGCACAGTGGGGCACACAGACACGCCGGGCCATCAGCCTGGCAGTTGCCGGGTCCTTGCACATCACTTTGGTGCAGGAGCCAGAGGACAGGAGAACCTGTCCCCTGTGCCCTTGGAGGACACAGTAGGGACATCAGTAGGGAGCAGACGTGGCTCCAGGTGACGCAGCAGCCAGGTCTCAGCTGGAATCCTCATGGTCTGGGTGCTGCACACGTGAAACACAAAGGCATCACATTTCCAAGGGACGGTTACTGCAGGGTACAGGCGGGGAAGCTCCTCTTTGCTTAGAGTCGAGCAGACCCACGCTGGATAACCACAGCACACTGCTTTACTCCAGTAACCCAGGGAATAGCACGGTCCCGTGGCAGGCAAAGCTACCTACCTTCCTTCTCTGCTCCAGGGACAAAGTTGTTGCAAATGATACTGGGCACACGCAGCCTGCCGAGGCTCACAGCTGTTACGTCTTTGCTTCTCTTATTTTTTTCAAATCCGGTTTCTATAGCAAAGGCCCTTTGAGCACAGATATTTTTGACAAGCCAGTTAATCCTGTAAGTAGTAGTCACACCCACAGCAGTGCAGAATAATAAACACCAAATACTCACCAGGGAAAAACAATCTCTGTTTTGCAAAAAGAGTGAAAGGAGCAGCACTTCTGTAGCTAAAAATATTTACCGTACAAGGTTTGTCAAAGGTCACCCGAGAACAGCCTGGGATGAATTGCCATTTCAGTAAGGCAGGACATTCAAGCCCGGCTGTTTATTTAACTCCCTGAAGTCCAAGTTATGACCCAATTTTCTTCTGCTCTGTGAGCAAAAAGAAAGCATCAGCTTTCACTGCCATTATTGCGCTTTCCCTCGGAAGAGATTTATTGATCTCAGAATATGAAGGAAGTAACAGATAAAAGGAGAAAAATTGACCTCAGATTTTCATAATCCTTTTGTCAAATTACTGTTGCAAGCAGCTGTAACAGAAAAGTACATGTAGGGTGAATGTTAGAAACTGCCAAAACTAGAGGCGGACTAAATAGTCAGCTTGCACCTGCAAGAGGCTAATGGTGAGGATCTGAGCTTCTCTGCATGGGAGAAGCGTCACTGTGTGTCTTCATTAGCAGGTAAAAGGAACCAACGGTGGGAATGCACAGGACAGAAAATGGCTGAAAACCAGAGAGCGATTGCCATAAGCTTTGAAGAAATTGTAATTTGTAGATGATAGGGTTGCATCAAGGCAGAATTTCAACATAACTGCAGAGATGGGGAAATACACAACATGGTGGACTTGGGACATTTGCCACTATAATTAATCGGAGCCAAGGCTTCAGAAAGCGTAACAAAATAAATAAGCCTGGATGTCTTCTGCCTGGAAGACCACCACACACACATGAACGCCCTAGGACATAAAGCAGGTCAGAGTCAACTGCCAAGTTCCTGGCACGGCTTTGGCGCTTCCCTCCCAAGGCTCTGCATCCAGTTGCACGCAGGTTACACAACTCCAGACTCCTGCTTTCGTGTGACCTCCGATGCTCACTTGGGTGACTGCAGTTCCTCACCTTTTAAAACTATAGATGAGGCCCAACAGGCTACAAATCAAAGCCAGTTTTGTTTAAGAAAGGAGAATCAGTCCACTCCACGCAGAGCTATTTCAAGGAGATGAAGTGATGTTCAACGTGACAATAAAATTAGGAAAGTGTAGCAGTGTTTCTAAAACAGTAATTGAAAGGCTGCAATATAAACTAAAGTCCTGATACAAGGGAGATTCTCTGTTAATGCTCGAGTAATCAAGATCTATAAAACCTTAAGCTTCTTCAATTACACTGCATAACTGATTTGTATTCTTTTTATTTAGATTGAACTAGCTGATCCAGATGGTGTTTTAGCAGAGGCCCAGGCAATGTTTGATGACAGCCAAAATTAATAACCGGATGCTGAAGAAAAAAAAAAAAAAAGATGCAAGACAAGAACATGATCCTGGGTTACTTATTCATTTGAGTCTCAAACCCACACTGTGGTGTACCGTGTCGTGGTCTGCCTCACTTTTCCCTCAAGGCTGCTCATGTATGCTTCACCCTGCAGGTGGCTTTGCTCAGGACTGTCCTCCCAGTCCCCATTATTTGGAAAAGGAAGCAAAAAAAAGAAAGGGCGGGGGGGAAGAGAGAAAAACCGCAAGCAGCAGAACACTGGAAGACAGGCAGAGCAACTCTGCCAAGCTCCTCGGACTTATTCCTCCTGTAAAGAAATCGCACTCCTGTTGGTTTCAAGGTCTTTCACATCGCCTTAGAAAAGTGGCAGCATTTCCATTACATGCTATAAAAGCAAAGCCCTAGAAAAGTACAAATAATTGTCCCCTCCCACTCCCCCAAAACTTAGCCCAATACGTACCTGTGACCCAAGATGGCCTTTGAAGTTATAACAGATCATATTTCAATATTTTTATTAATACTTCACTTGCTCTCTCTGTGCATTTTCCATAACGTGACGCTGGTTCTCCTCCCCAAGCCCCGAGAATGCAGAGCACCAGATCTCTCCCTGGCTCCGCTCCTTGGCCAGCCCACGCACCGAACTCCCAGCACTCACCGGCACCGTGCCAGCCACGCAGAACTGTGTCGCTTCTGATCTACGATGTGCTGCTGAACGTCACCCGCAAGAGCAAAGGACCATGGCACTGCAGTCGGCTGCTGAAAAACAAACTGTGGGCGAGCAGGTCATCAGTTCACCTCATGAACAGCAGGCTTCCGAGTATCTCCTCTTGTCTCCAGTTCATTTGGTCCCATGACTCTTCATGTTTTCTGCGCTGAAAGATAACCTACTTTTCTATTTAAGCACTCAGAGAGAGTCACAATGCAACATGCTTAGTCCCAAGGTTTAAGCAGTGCTGACAGGAGGAAAAGCATGTCAGCTACGTTATATTCTTTATACCCGTCTGTGTGAACAGGAAATTTTGTCTTCGTATTATGACTGAAATGAATAACTGAACACATTTAAGAGATCCTCAGAAATACACAGTAAGATGAGCACAATATAGCTGAAAAGATAAGGGATATAGAGAGAATAAGTACATTTTCAGGCCTCTAGATAACAAATAATCAGCAACAATTGACTATATTTTATTTCATTAAAGCATTTTATATCTAAATAAGTGATATACAATAACCAATGTTTAAAATGCTTGAGGTAAAAGCATAATGCCATTAGTATAAATAAGGGATTAAAAAAAAATTTCTAAGTGCACTCTTTAATGTTTAAATCCATCTGTTTGGGTCTGGTTACTGCCTCTGGCACACAGTTATGAGACTGTGCCCAAGGTGTAACTTTCATGACCATTTCCACAGGTGGAAAACAAGAGAAACATACTCGATATCATGGCTTAAAGTGCAGAAAATAGTCATAGTAACAGTGCCATTAGCTTTTAAGAAAGTTAAAAATAAGATTGTCCCACTAGCTTCTAATTCTGTATTTCTTAAACAAAACAACCCCACACTTCTCTGTCACTTTGTAAAAGAACCACAAAATAAAGAGAAATTCAGCTACTTATCCAGGACAGCAAGTAATTTTTGTAAAATAAACTTGGCAAATATATTTTCTGGACTTCCATTCAAAATAGCATTGTAACTTTTAAATACACAATTTACAGACAGAAGCGTGACTTTTAAGCCTGACAGCACCCTTTCAACCATTTGCTCTAGTGTGAATACTGAGTCAGGTTTTCTTCCTTTAGTGAAGGTTTTTAAGAGTCTTTTTTCCCCAAGACAGGACTAGTATTCCAGTAAAGGATGGGAAAATACATTTTGTGCCTACTACCAAGATTTCATGTTTTGGAATGCTGCTTCATTAATGCCTAACATAATCCTTCCAGTGCTCCACGAATAAACACCTGTGGGACTGTAGTCACAGTTCTCACCATCAGCAGACTCACATCAGTAATGGATTATATTTGAAGAATAATGTAATGGCAGAGCTAGAGAAAATCCAGTTTGGCCTCTGTATGCAAGAAGGACTTGGGACAAGAGCAAGTGGAAAGTTGTTTTCTGCTTGTGAACCAAGAACGCTGCTTAAAAAAAACAAACACGCCAGCAGGTTTTTTTATAGTTATTTTTCAGAATACAAACGCACCACAGATAACCTTGTCAACACTTGCCACTGCGGTGGTGCTGACATGAGAAATCAGTCCCATTTGCTTTATGAGGCTGCTTCAGTAGTAAACACACTCTGCCACCCTAACTCTGTAGCTGCATCCTACAGTTTGTAAATATGTTGGGATAAGCCAAGATGGACGTTGGGTGTCAGGGAGCATGTTCAGCCCAGGCTCAGCCAGGTACAGCTCCACTGTATTGTCACGTCTAATTTCAAAATCCCAGGCTTCTAATTCCACAGTGTTAGCTATGATAGGGAGATCAAGTTTTGTTCCATTAGACTTGAAATCTGTCTCAGTTTGTGTTAAAAAACCCAGCTTTTACCCTTCAAAGCCCCAAGCTGCTTCATAGAAGAACTGCATTCCAAAAAGTGCCACTTCTAGACATAGCTAGAATTACTGAAGCAGCCCAGGACAACTGCGGCCATCTTTCTTGGACAAACCTCTTATCCAAGAGACCAAATGGAAGTTTTTGCTTAAAGAGTAAATAAAAACCGACACAGTAGCCTCGCTGTCATAGACACGTGTCTGAAAGTAAGCAGCAATATTAATTACAAATAACCTACTTTCATAAATAATTATACATAGAGAAAAGTAGTCTTCCAGATCCTTCGGAAGCAAAAGATGTATAACAAATTATTAAATACAACAGTTCAGCAAGGAGAAGACTTTTTCTAAACAAGGAAGACCAAGGCATAGCTAATTACTTGGGAATCCAATGCAAAGAAAGCACCTTTTGGTGCTTGTATCTGAGGATCTATTAAAAATATATTTTTAATATAAAAGTATAAAATAATTACTACTTTGGCTTGGAAAAAAATCAGCAGTGGAGCTGATTTTCAAGCAAAAAAGATTATCCAGTGATAATTTCCATCTAGTTTCTTCTTTTAAAAAAAAAAAAAAAAGATTCCTAAATGCAGAACAGGCAAATCTATCTCTCCAGATAATATGTGCTGGCTCATGAGAACTTTAAAACAGTTATTGCTTTTATTTTCTTCCAAGGAAGAGTAGAGTCGACTCTCATTCCTACTCATGTGGCCATACCACATCACAGTAAGACTAGTCAAGGGCGTTTAGCAAGTTATAAAATGTGTAACTGCCATAGGAAAAGGCGTTGGAGAAATCAGTAAAGTAATAATTACTTGGCAGCAAAACATACTGGGGAAAGTGGTGGGAAAGCTTTCACTTCTACCATCTGTCAGGCTTTCTAGAGAGAACAGCACTAGCACTGAAACCAAGTGCTAATTGCTGCATATCGCAAGTAATTTGTATCATGCCATGCAATATGGATCAGACAAGCAGTATCTTCTAGTAAATGCCAACATCAACTAAACAGAGGGGGAAAAAAAAAAAAGCTTCTCTATCCATCCCTAACAAATATCCAAATTTACAATGTTATTTTCCATGTATTTATACAGCCACCATTCAGCATTAACAAGAAGCAATCAAGACAGTGCTCACAAGAGGAGGGATGCACCTGCAGTGCAAGCATACCCCACCATCCATTCCTTGAAATGTCAGACAGCCAAAATTTTATGAAAGGAACAACATTTTTTTTTCTCTCTAAAGGGTTAGAACAACATTTATAATCTCTCTTTAAATGGTAATCAACAGTTCGACCAGTTTATCCACAGGGGAGTCAACATAACAAGGCAGAAGCAGAATAGTGGGTTTATTTCCTTTAAGTACAGGTTTATGCAAAATGGGTAACAGCTGAGGAGATCGTATCACCTCTGTGATCCAGCTGATCCTGGAGCCGTGCAAATTCAGCAAGTTCATTCAGTTCTTGAAATTGCCTGTCTGTTTTATGGCTCACCAGTGACCTGTAGAAGTGGACTGCAAATACAATGAAAATCAATCCAAAGGGAACCATAATAGACGTTGATGCAATGGCTGCTGCCTGTCCCGATGTGATGGTAGAACTGTTGCTCTGGAGTGGATTATCAGTTTTCTTCTTTAAAGGAAGAAACTTCACCCAACACAGTAGCACCACCTCTGCAAGAAAGAGCAAAGTCCCAATGACAGTAGAAAATGCCCAGGCAAGCTCAATGTGCCGATGCATACGCTCATGAGGAGATTCCTTTACAGAGTTGAGATTATGCACATTGCTAACAGCCTCTATATTTGGAAGAATGCAGGTACTTATCATGAGTGCAAAAAGGTGAACTGCAACAAGGACAGTAGTACAGGCACTGAAGGCTATCAAGAGACCTTGAGGGTAGTCATGTTCTGCATCTAGCTGAACTTCTACCATAGCCACCTGAAAAGGAAAGGAGAGATGCAGTTACCTACGTTACATATCATTTGACTATCGATTAAGTTTAAATCATGTTTCCGGAAGATGATCTGTTCCAAACAAAATAATAGTCTGCATTTAAATTTCTCTTCATGTCCGTCTGCACCCTTTTCATTAGGTCCAAATTTAGGTCTATCAAGCAAAGGCCGCTGTTCTCATATTTACTGTTCTGTTGCAGAGCAAACCATCAGTATGCACAAAAGCTATTAACAGCACAACCACCTTGCCACCTCCAGCTCATCCCAACAAAACAGCTGAACTTCGTGATTAACACACTTAGACTCTTAAGGTGAAACATTTCTTCTTTCCTGTGTTATATTGTAGAGGCAGCTTTTGATCTTTCACTATAAATTTTACTGGGCATGAGGAAACGTTTTGTGTGTGCTAGATTAATGGCTGGACTCGATGATCTTAAAGGTCCTTTCCAACCTAAACGATTCTATGATTCTATACCTATGTAGAACAAATACCATATGAAGTCTTTTGAAGA